TATATATATATTTCAAAAACCAGACAACAACTTTCTTACAAAAATTATATTTTAATAGGTTTGTTGAAAAAAACATCTTCCCACCACATAAATTTCTAGAAAACAACAGAAAAATAGTTGCCCGAATGGAATTTTGTTGGCAGTTTGAAACGCAAAGCAAACAGACTAGCACATGCACATAGAATTTAGTCATAGCTAAAGCAAACTATATCTAAACTAGAAATACCTTGGTTAATATAACTTGAGTTGAAAATAATGATATGCTATTTTAGAATTTAAACCATCTTGATAATCAAGTGGTGAATGCCTTAATTGGTCTTTTACTCCTTAGATTAGACGTCACCTAATTCTTGACCAATGGGTCAAATTGTGCTAACTCAAATTTTCTGATTAACTTAACTGTCAATCAATTCTGCCTCCTAGCTTTAAGTTGATTAGGCCAACCAAGCTTGAATTGAACCTCTCATCACATAGGACTTAATGGGACCAACCCAAGTTTCCCTAATTATTAAACTCATTTAGCGATAAGTAATCCTTAGGTTTAACACATATAAATCTAGCCAAACATAGGTTAATAACTTAAATCTCTTGTCCAAACCCAACATGAGTTAGTCTAACATAGCCCATAAGAGTCTTAGATATTGGACCCATCTCTTAAGACCCACTTAGAACTGTTTAGGTTAACATAAAGCTTTCTAGTGACATCTAGGTGCAACATAAATTATTTTGATCAAACTTTGACTAATTTATTAATCCTAAGGCAACCTAAGCTAAACTATGATGAATCTTACAAAATGTAGTCTTGATTTATTAATCTCATCAATCATGGTTGATTAGCCTAATTTGTCAAATTTAATGCAACATAGACTACTCTGCCTTGACCCTTACAAAACTTAAGACAAATCAAATGGACTCTAGCTAGGGACCAACTTAGGTCAACCTTGACCCAATTTAATTAGCTAGCTTTTAATTAATTAATTAAATTAATTCAAGTATCCTATGAACTAATTGGTATCCAAAACCCTAGGGATCCACACTTGGTCAACCTATAAATCCACAACCAAATCATTCTCAATTAGTGGTCAAACTTGGCTTAAATTATATTCTAGGCCTACAAATGTAAAATAAACATATTAAGTAATTAAAAATATTATATAAATTTAAGTAATTTTATATATTTATATAGTTTCAAAAAGTTTGAATTTTATAAGAAATTTAATTAGTATTTATGTTCAATATTAAAAATTATTATCTATAATAAATAAATTTAAAAAAAAAATGATTAATTTTAAATTGAATTTGGCATTCATCAACCACTATTCATGCATTAATATATAAATCAAATATTCATAGGTTTCATTTGTTCATCAAAATGTACCTTTTAATATTAATTTAACCGTTGATTTATTAAATATAAAATTATCATGCACAATACTTTTTGTGCATCAAAATGTATTTTTAAGTTTATGTTCTCATGCATGTATCTTCGTGCATAATTTTCCCATTAATTGTTTTTTTTTATAAAAGGAAATATTACAAAAATGTTAATCTCAAATATGCATAAATGCATATCATATGATCATAACTTTCATGCACTTATCACATCATGCATTCAAACCATCTTTGTGTAATTTCATACACATGCATTCAAGTAAAATTATTTAAGGCTTACCTTATTAATGATATTTTACCAACTTTGGTTGTGCATGATTGTCTATATTGATTGTGTACGTATATTCACATACACACAAGGGCCGAATCAGACTATATCCAAAGTGAGCAATTACCCTCCCGAAGAAATTTGAGATTTTATCTATATATATATAGTAAAATTTAATAATGTTTTCTTACTTAGTTTAGACAACTTAGTAATTTTAGTCCCATTCGATATAATTTTTTTGCCCAATGCTTAAAAAACATAGATATTTGATGATTTTACCCACCCTGAAATATAATGTTGATTCTGCCCCTGCATACATATGTTATTTATTTGCCTCTTTCTTACCATATTTATAAATAATAATAATAATAATAAGATAAAAGGCATACAAGTGTACATAAATAAACCTAATACCTCATAAAGAGATGTCGTATGTGTGATGAAACTACAACCATAAGAGACATAACAAATATTAAAATAATAATGCATTGATATGCCTTAATTAATACCTAATGTGAAGCATAATTAATGCCACAGCTGCAAATTATTAGAAATAATAACTGCATTAGGAAAAAGCTATTTAAATGCGTATTAAAAGACATTTCTTGC